CCCGCGTCCCCTGCATCGGCAGGCGGACTCTCAACCACTGCGCCACCAGGGAAGCCCCTAAGAATGTTTCTTTTTATATTTTCAAATGGTTGAAAGGAAAACAAAAGAAGACTACTCTGAAAAACATGAAAATTATATGAAACTCACATTTCCGTATTCATGAAACAGTTCCATTGGAATATAGCCACACCCACTCATTTATGTTTTTGTCTTGGGCTGCTTTTGTGTTATACTGGCAGAGTTGAACAGCTGCAACAGAGAACATCTAGGCATCCAAGCCTAAAATATCTATCTGGCCTTTTACAGGAGAAGCTCACCCCGGTCTAGGCACGTAAAAGCGCTTGTGTGGAAATGGGTACGTGCGTGCAAGTATTTCTCCTTTAGAAATGTTATAAGTAGGGGCCTCACACATGTGTTCTGCACCTTGCTTTTCCCCAGTTAGATATAACTAAGAGACTGTTCCATGACACCCCCTGCCGCCCTGCCTCCTTTTGCTGGCTTTATACTAGTCCACTGCCTGCCCACAGTAGATTATCACAACATAACACACGTTTAGGTTGTTTCTAGATGTTTGCTCTGAAAACGTTGCTGAAATAAATATCCTTGAGAACAAACATCTTTGCCCACATGTGTTATTCTGTCAAGAGGACAAATTCCTACCTATGAAATTTCTGAGGTCAAAGGCACATGCAATTTATATTGAAAATCACTACCTTCCAACAACTCATACCAGTTCCGTGCCTAACGACAGTATCTGTTTCCACACACGCTCCTAAGCCCTGGGCGTTATCACACAGTGTTTGCCAACCGGCTCGGTGGGAGAAAATGACTTCACTGCCAAAACATGCGTATCTCTGAGGGGGGCAGCTGCAAGGCTTTGGGCTGCATTTTCTGAGCTTCTGTTCTGTCCACCCAACGGACTTACCGGGTGCCTTTACGTCTGATCCTGAGCCCAGTCCTGGGCCAGGCCCAGAGCAAATGCCTGATGACCTTCAACTGGGTGGACAGAGTACTGAATGGAGGGCTGAGTGCCACAGAGGGCAGACTCATAGCCCAAACTTCGTAGGTTCAAAACCCTAATCTGCTACTCACTAGCTGAGCGACCTTAGGTAAGTCACCTAACCTCTCTGTTCTTCAGTTCTCCTCTACAAATGGAGAAAATAATGGTGCCTAACGACCATGGGATCGCTGACAAGTAAACAAGATAACATGTATACAGCCTTAAACACAAGTTCTAACACGCAGTGTTAGCAAGATGCTCATCCAGCAGGCCTGAGACTGCTCTCGCTAGAAAGGCCTCCTGGCCAGGCTGGCCTCTGGCTGGTGTCTGAGATCCTGGCTTTAGGAGGGCTCTCACCACCCCCTAACTAAGAGGGGCTCACTGCGCCTGGACTGTACCAATGTGGTTTACGCGGATCACCTGCTTTCCTGGAGTCTGGGTCTGTGCCAGGCAGAGGGCACCTACGTGACCAGCCCCCAATAAACACCCTGGACGCTGAGTCTCTAGTGGGCGTTCCTGGTGGAGGACACCCACCTGTATTGTCACAAGTCACCGCTGAAGGAACGAAGCGTGCGCTGTGTGACTGCCCTGGGAGAGGGCTCTGGAAGCCTGTGTCTGGTCTCCACCCCACGTGCCCCTTCCCTCTGCGGATTCTGTTCTGTCTCCTTCCACTCTACCAAACCATAGCCAAGAGCAGGACCACATCTGCTGGGTCCTGTGAGTCCTCCTAGTGAGTCAGCGAACCTGGGGGTGGTCTTGGGGACCCTGACACTCATGGCAGGCAGTAAATCCAGCTACTAGCATGACTCTCACCTGCAGAGAACGGACGCCCTGCCCTTAACCTCCCCCTAAACACCACAGACGACGACACGGACCCCCATTCAGCCCCCCCGCCAGTACCTCGTTTTGGAGATTTTAGATTTGCAGAATTGAAAAGAGGAAGACCATGACTTTGGCCAATATCCCCAAACCAAAGCCCAGGATGCGCCCAGGAAGCCCACTGGGCTTGATGTCACCGCAGGAGCCACAGGCTGTGCCCTCAAGGGACTGACTGGTGCAGGGGGCAGACAGAGAGACTGAAGGGGCGCCTCACCAAGACCAGGATGTTGGGCATGACGATATTGTCGCTCTCTAGGCCGCGGGACTTGTCAGGCTGGAACTGGAAGCTGCGGTACTCGAGGAAGGACACCGTGTCATTGTCATTGAAGGTGATGTTGTTCTTGTGTCTGAACTCCCTGTGGGCGAGGAAGCCGGTGGATCAGCTGCCTGGGAGCCAGAGGCCCTCGGATGTCTGCACCGAGCTTGGCCGCCTTCCCCCCATCTGTCCTCCCGCCACCTGCCCACTGCAGGACACGGCACCAAAGCCTCTGTAACCAAATCCCAACACGCCCCCTCCCCCTGGCCAAGCCGCCGCCGTCCCTCATCAGTCTTTTCCCCGGCTTCCCTGCTCCTCCGGTGTAGGCAGGGAGGATGGTCGTTAGGAATATGCACTCTGAAGACAGAGGGTGGGGTCTTGAATCTTGTCTCCATCATTTACTACCCCAGCCTCAGTTTTCCCACCTATAAAATGGGAGTAATGGGACTTCCCTGCAGGTCCAGTGGTTAAGACTCCGCACTTCCGTTGCAGGGGGCACGGGTTCAATCCCCGGTCGGGAACTAAGACCCCACATGCCACAGGGCGAGGCCAAAAATAAAATAAAATAAAATGGGAGTAATAACAAAACCTACTTCATTAGGTCCCTACTGTGAGGATTAAGTAAGTTAATGCACATCAAGCAATTAAAATGGTTGTCAGATGCATTGAAAACATTACAAATCAGCTGCAAGTTTCATTGCTGTTATGCTGTCATTATTCTCTCTTGTTCTGCAAACTGTTCTCCACAGAGCATCCAGAAGAATCTTTGGAAAGGGGAAATCAGATCACGTCATCCTCTCGCCCACTACCCTCCTTTGCACACAGGATAAAATCAAGCTCCTACTGTGGCCTCCGGGGTCCTCACCATCTGACCCCATCCCGTTCTCGGGCTTCCTCTCTCCCACTATCCCCCTCACTCCTAACACGCCAGCATTTACGCTGCTTGGTTTTACCTTACTTTTCCACTTGTTTATTCCCTCCCCGCTCCCCATCGGAATGTTAGCTCTGTGAGGCAGGGGCTTTTGTCTGCCTTTAACAGTGAACGGGGGAACTTCCCTGGGGGTCCAGCGGCTAAGACTCCGCTCCCCCAATGCAGGGGGCCTGGGTTCGATCCCTGGTCCGGGAACTAGATCCCAAATGCATGCCACAAATAAATAAATATTTATTAAAACAAAACAAAAACAGTGAACTGGCACAGTGCTTGGCACACAGGAGGCACTCAATAAACGCTTACAGAATGAAGGAATTAATAGGAACTTTGGCAAACCAGACTCAGCTCTAACACAGAAGCCTTTCATGGGTGAGCTAAGCCAGGATCACAGCTTCCTGAGGGCACAACAGGCAGAACAAGAAATCGGGCCTCGTATTCCGACAGGCCTCCCTGCCTCTTGGAAAACTGCTCGGGCCAATCCAACAAGCCCAGTAGCCACTGGAGATCTGCACCCTCTCAAAGAAAACAATAAAACGACGAGGCTGTGGCAGCAGTGGTCAGAATGGAACGGAGCAGGACCCCAACAAATCCTTTCCATGTGCCCCATTTTGTGTTTGTAGGAAATAGGCTTCATTCAGCTTCCTTGACCTCCCCTGAGTTCCAAAGGGTAGATTCAAACAGTTGCTAATCAGGGGAGGGAGGGGATACAGAAACAAAGGAGGAGCAGTCAGGAGATAATAGTGCCGCCTTGGGGCAGGGTCCTGGTTCCCCCTCACGGGATACACAGAACAATATCTTTGAGTTCTTCTGTAGGAACTAAGGCCCCCACCCAGGTGGAGGATGGTAACTTCAGGCTGAGCACAAGATTCCTGGGACACCACCCTGTTACCTCACCACCAACCAATCAGAAGAAAGTTTTGCACACAGTGGGAGGTGATGAAGGCTCTGACCTGCTCCCCAAATGATTTCCCTTTAAAGGGAATCTTTGGAACTGGTTTTTGGACATGAGTCCACCTTCTCCCCAGGTTGCTGGCCTCCTGAATAAAGCAACCTTTCCTTTCCAACCAACACTTGCCTTTTTTTTTTTTTTTTTTTTTTTTTGTTTTTTGCCCCCTGCCACTCTCAAGCCAAAATTTCTTGTGACTCTGGGACTAATGGAATACAAAAGAAGGCACCATTGAAGACTAATACAAAATGCCATGTCCTGGTGGTTGGTAGAATGACCAGCAGAGTGTAGGAATTAGGAACTACTGGAGGTATATCCTCGGTGGCTTCACTGACTGTCCTGACATCCTTCCCCAGGTCCCCAGCAGCCCATGGGTCTCTCCTGGTCAGGCCCCTCCCAGGATATGGGGTTCCCTGGGCAGGTCCCCTGCAGCCCATTGGGTTCTCGTGGTCAGGCCCCTCCCAGGATACAGGATACAGAACTACACTTGCAGGTACAGTGGCAGTGCTGGGCACACAGGAACCATGCACATAGCCCTCATTGCTGAGCACCCCCAGCTAACATGTCACTCAGAGCTGACACAGAGCACCTCAGAGCAGAACTTGAACTAACAAACAGCAGCTCGGACAGGTCTTTCACCCTGGGCCTCACTCTCTGCAGCCTCCCTCCGCCTGGTCTTCCTGAGACTTCCACTGCACCCGGGGCACCAGGCCTCTGTCTCCACCCACCACCCACCCCTCCTCTCCCTGACTCCTGGGTTCCTCTCATTAGGAGACGGTTTTCTTGAAGGTGTCTCCCACTCATGGGCCAGATAAAATGATGAGAAAGAAAGCCAGAGCTGCAGCCCCTTTTCTATCCTGACTCTCAGGAGCCCACACCGGTTCCTTAGACTTGGCCGGTTCATCAAGTTCCATTTTCTGCAACTGTGAGACCCCGAGGGTTGATGATTGGCTGACCTGGGCAGCCTGACCGTGTCGGCCAGCCCTCCCCAGGTGTGCCTGGTTGAGATCAATATAAACACCCAATCAGCAAGAGCCAATGCAGCTGTGCCTGACGCCATGTTCTCTGCCCTGTCAGCAGTCTCGGGGCTGAGCTGTGGGACGGAGTGAGAGGCCACGGCTTTGTGGGTGGCCCAGTGTGAGTGGGGCTCTGCTGGAGTTTCTGCAGCAGTTGCCAGACGGCCACCTGCTAAAGAAGAGGATGTGTCACCCATACCTGCTGCTGGAATTTCTCCCTGGGCAGAGGTGAGGAAGGAAAAAAGCAGTGGGGGCTGGGACAGGAAGGGTATCTCAGGCAGGGAAATGGAAAGCTTCCAGAAGAGTGCCCAGGGCCAAGACCATCCTGGCTGGCCTGCAGGCACCAAGTCGGCCGGCGTGCTGTCGCTGGTGTGGCTCCACGGCCCTTCTTCTAGGCTTTCAAGTCCTTGTACATATTCAGGTGTTTTACCTGGGAAGTGTGGGAACAGTTCAGCAGCAGCTGGCCTGTTTTTTTTTTTTTTTTTTTTTTTTACTTTTTGGCCGCACCTCACGGCACGTAGGATCTTAGTTCCCCAACCAGGGGAACTGTGCCCCCTTCAGTGGAAGCTCGGAGTCTTAGCCACTGGACCGCCAGGGAAGTCCCAATACTTGCCTTCTGAGCAGCGAGCAGCTGAACTCAGGTAACAATAATATGTTAACAGCTATGTTTATTGAGCACTTACTACATGCCAGGCACTGTGCTGGGCTTTCCGCTAACCATCTTATCCAATCCTCATAACCACCCACAGTGCGTACTGTCATCCCCATTTTACACAGCGGGAAACTGAGGCACAGGGAAGGAAAGGCCTGTGCCCACGATCAGAGATTTGCTGAGTGGCAAAGCCAGGCAGTCACTCTCCAAGTCTCAAGCGCTAGAGCACCAGATTGGGAGAAGCAGATTGACCCTGAACAAGCCCCACTACTGCGAGGGGCCTGTTTTCTCATCTGTAAAATGGGGTGATGACCTGAGTCCCAGCCCAGCCCCCTCCATCCTCACCTGTACACGTAGGGTCCACGCTCCCGCACCTGCGGCTTCTGGCCTTGGAGGATCTCACTGGGGTTGACGACATCGAAAAAGTAGACAGAGAGGTAGAAGGGGACAGGGATCTCCTTCCACATGTTGAAGGACAGGCTGCTGGGGTCAATGCGCACATTCTGTGGGGGATGAGAAAAACAGGTCCGTGAGGAGGAGGGCCAGGGCCCCCGCCCACCTACCCACCCGGCTCCAAAACAGCTGCCTGGTGCCAGCCTGTGCTGCAGACTCCACAGGCACATCAGGGAAGGGGCTCCCTGGAGGGGGGTGCTCTGGGGGCAGGAGGAGGTGGGAATGCTGCTCTGGAGTTGACATAATTAATGTTAATAGGTAATATTATTTTTACATGGTATTTTTTTTTATAAATTTATTTTGTTTTTTATTTTATTTTTGGCTGCGTTGGGTCTTTGTTGCTGTGTGTGGGCTTTCTCTAATTGCGGCGAGCGGGGGCTACTGTTCGTTGCAGTGCGCGGGCTTCTCATTGCGGTGGCTTCTCTTGTTGCAGAGCACAGGTTCTAGGCACGTGAGCTTCAGTAGTTGTGGCACACGGGCTTAGTTGCTCCGCGGCATGTGGGATCTTCCTGGACCAGAGATCAAACCTGTACCCCCTGCTTTGGCAGGCGGATTCTTAACCACTGCGCCACCAGGGAAGCCCTTATGTGTTATTTTTAAAATGTGTTTTCATAACGGCAGCCTGATTGGGGGACCAGGAGGTGGCCGCTGCTTGACCACAGCACTTGGCACCCAGCGGAAAGTGGGCTCTGTGTGCCAAATGCGTCATTCATTCATTCACTCATTCATTCAACACACATTTTTTAAAAACTTTAGTATAATTGATTTACAGTGTTCCAGGTGTACAGCAAAATATTCAATTTTACATATATATATATATTCTTTTTCAGATTCTTTACTATTATAGGTTATTATAAGATATTGAATATAGTTCCTTGTGCTATACAGTAGGTCCTTCTTGTTTACCTACTTTATATACAGTAGTGTGTATCTGTTAATCCCAAATTCCTAATTTAGCCCTCCCCATCCCACTTCCCCCTTTGGTGATCATAAGTTTTTTTTCCATGTCTGTCAACACACATTTATTGAGCACCTACTACAAGTCGGGCCCTCTTCTAAGAGCTGGGGATAGGACAGCAAACAAGAAAGACCCAGATCTCCAACGTCATGGGACTCTTATTCCAGTAAGGGAAAGGTCTTCAATAATTACAGTAAAGTGCACGCTAGGTGACAGGGCATAGTGAAAACACAGCAGGGACAGGGAAGAAGGCTGCAATTTTTTTTTTTTTTTTTTTTTTTTTTTTTTTTTTTTGCGGTACGCGGGCCTCTCGCTGTTGTGGCCTCTCCCGTTGCGGAGCACAGGCTCTGGACGCGCAGGCTCAGCGGCCATGGCTCACGGGCCCAGCCGCTCCGCGGCATGGGGGATCCTCCCAGACCGGGGCACGAACCCGTGTCCCCTGCATTGGCAGGCGGACTCTCAACCACTGCGCCACCTGGGAAGCCCAAGGCTGCAATTTTAAACAGAGGAGTCAGGCAGGTGAAATGTAAGGAAGAACAGAAGACCAAAACTAAACCAAAATTAAAAACTAAGGGCACTGAGGGGAGCACGTGTATTTGGTGGTGGTGGGTAAGTCTGTGAAGAAGCCACAGTCCGTGCAAAGGCCCGGAGGCAGGGAGGAGCTGAGACAGAGCATTCAGGAACAGCAAGGAGGCCAGCATGGCCAGAGCAGGGTCTATGAGGGGAAGAGCAGAAGGAGATGAGAACAGAAGCAGTTTTCCAAGAAAAGCCAGCAAGGCAGAAATTTATATAAACTATAAATCTCCAGATTTATAAAGCTTGCCCAAAACTTGATTTCCTTAAACGGCGGAAGATAACAGGTCTGAAGCTCACTCGGAGAGTCTGTCAGATACACTGGCCTCTAATCCCTGCTTCGCTCTTCAGCTCTGAGCTCCCTGCCCCAGTGACACAGGAGGTCCCCCCAGTTCCACCCAACCCTGCCCCCGCCCAGCCGGACCCAGCCCATCAGATAGACGCTCAATGTTGCAAAGCTAGATGTCTGGGCAGCTTGTGTCACCCTCACCCTTTCTTTGAACGTGGTCTTCCAGGACAAGGACAGCCACTCCCACTGTCACCAAACAGACTGTCCCAGAACCAATGGGCAGGAGCCCCAGAGGAGGCAGAAGACTGGAGCTGGAGATCAGGCTCAGCCCCAGGTACGCAACCGGCAGGCTCTGGGAAGGAGCAGATTTGGAGGGAGTCTGACCCGAGGGCCCTTCGGGCAAGTTAGTCGGCCCTGAACCTCAATTTTCCCATTTGTACAATGGGGCCAGTGACTCTATAGCCTCAGCTGTGCCTCATTTGACCTACGTGGCATTTAAATGAAGAAAAGTTGAACTCATTGCCAAGAACAAAAAACTGGGAGATTTAACATAAAATCTGGACTTCAGGGTTCTCTTGAAAATATCAGGAGATCAGAGACTTGCCTTCAGGTGTAACAATCCTTTACTGATAAACACGTCTTCCTACCAGCTACAGGAGTCACAAGGATCATTTTTATAACCCGAGCATCCAGTACCTGCAAATAAATGTGACTAGTAAACATGGTTCGTACAAAGCAACAAAAAAGGGTATTTCCCTGCTGGAGGGGGTATGGAGAAAAGAGAACCCTCCTACACTGTTGGTGGGAATGTAAATTGGTGCAGCCACTATGGAGAACAGTATGGAGGTTCCTCAAAAAACTAAAAATAGAATTACCATATGACCCAGCAATCCCACCCGTGGGCTTGTATCTGGAGAAAACTCTAATTCGAAAAGATACATGCACCTCAGTGTTCACTGCAGCACTATTTACAATAGCCAGGTCATGGAAGCAACCTGTGTCCATCGACAGATGAATGGATAAAGAAGATGTGGTACACATATACAGTGGAATATGACTCAGCCATAAAAAAGAATGAAATCATGCCATTTGCAGCAACATGGATGGACCTAGAGATGATCATGCTAAGTGAAGTAAGTCACACAGAGAAAGACAAATATCATACATATCACTTGTATGTGGAGTCTAAAAAAAATGATACAAATGAACTTATTTACAAAACAGAAACAGACTCACAGACACAGAAAACAAATTTACAGTTACCAAAGGGAAATTAGGAGGTTGGGATTAACATATAGACACTACTATATATAAATCACTTAGTTGTACACCTGAAACTAACACAACAGTGTAAATCAACTATACTCCAATATAAAACTAAAAAAACAAAAAAACACGAGCATTTCCCAAGCGGGCCTCTGTGTCAGGTGCTTGTTCTAGACTCTTCACTGCATTGTCACTTCCCTGACTAGCACCACGATCCTTCGAGGCAGCCACTATTATTATTATCATTATTATTACTATTATTATTATTGGTTTCCTTTGTCAGTTTTAATGAAGACGTAAGTGAGGGAGTTCGGTGCGGGGTGCAGGAGGGTCCACTGTGACAGGTGACAGCTGACCTCTTCAGTGCGAGGGAAAAGGCCACAAGACCCTGGTGGGGGCCGGCCCTGAGCACGCCTCTCCCAAGTTTAAGGCAGGGAGGGGGAAGTCAGCATCCGGGCCTCCCAGCCCCCAGCTCTGGAGCTGCAGAGCCCAATGAGGGCACATCCCGGGGCGGCCAGGAGAGGGGAGGAGGGACTGAGTGGCAGCCCCGTGCACAGCTGTAGGGAGGGCCCGTCCCCAGCTCAGTCCTGACACATACAACCGAGAGGGCAATTCGGGTGAGCACAGAGGTGGGGGAGGACATGGTGAACGGAAGGGGTCACCCCCCCTAAAACAAAGGCAGCAGTTGCAACTTCCCTCCGGGCCCCTGAGGTCCCCGGGGCTTGGGTTTTTCCAGCTCCTCCCATGTTTTGTGAGCTGCCAGAAATCCAGATGTTTCTATGGCATCTCCCAATTGTTTCAATGGCAGCAACTTATTTTTCAAAATCAAACACACCTGGGGGCTTCCCTGGTGGCGCAGTGGTTGAGAGTCCGCCTGCCAATGCAGGGAACACGGGTTTGAGCCCTGATCTGGGAAGATGCCACATGCCGCAGAGCAACTAAGCCCGTGAGCCACAACTACTGAGCCTGCGCGTCTGGAGCCTGTGCTCCGCAACAAGAGAGGCCGCGACAGTGAGAGGCCCGTGCACTGCGATGAGGAGTGGACCCCGCTCTCCGCAACTAGAGAAAGCCCTCGCACGGAAACGAAGACCCAACACAGCCAAAAAATTAAAATAAATTAAAAACTAAAAATTAAAAAAAAATGTGCAGTTCCATCACATTAAAAAAAAAACACCGGGAGGCATATCACACATCTTAAGGCCACGGCTGGACCGCCGGGATGCCCCTTTGCCACGCCTGCCGGAGCACCTCACCTGCACCATCTCCCAGAGGGGGTGACCTCTCCGTGTTACGGTGGGGGCGGGACTGGGACCCGCGAGCCTGGGTAGCTCTCCCCCTCCCCCCTGGCCCACAGTAGGTCCCACTCCAGGGGCCACCCTCTCCCCCCCCCCCCCCTCCCTCCCACCAGCCACAGGCTTGGAGAGTGGAATTCAAACGTCAGCCTGGAGGCTGCTCGTGGGGTTGCAGGTGGGGGCGGTGGTTGTTAGTCATGCAGGATGGAAATCTTTAACCCAAAGCAACAAAGACAGGCCCACAGGGAGGAGCGACAGAGGGGCAGTGCCATCACGCCCTCTCTCCATCCCCCATCCACAGAACAGACACACCGGGGGCTAGTAGGTAGGGGGCCCGCCCTTCCTGGCTTCAGTCAGCGCACTCAGCCAGGAGAAAACGCGACATCAATCCAGTTTCCTTCTTTTGACGTGTTTGGGATAAAATGTAACAGGGAAGAGCCAAATCTGACTCCATGTTGGATCTGTTTCTTTTACTTTAAACTTTGCTTTCCGCTGCTTTTGTTCACTTAAAGGACTCTGTCTATACAGAACGGCCTGCCTCGGGGAACCCTGCCCCTCTGCCTGAATGTTAAACCAAAGTGCCTTTGTTCAGGGAAGCAACCTGACCCTGTCCACCTGGGGATGGCTGCAAGAAAGAAGAAATGAACACATCCCCTCCCCGAGGCTGGCCGT